CAGAGACCCACGTCCACCGACTCCAACTCGGGCAAAAGTCCTCTCGACTTTAGTACCTTCATTCCTTTTTCGCTCATGTGGCCCAAGCGACCGTGCCATAAGTGCGATTGTGAGACAACTCCCGCCAGGAGAATGTTTGAGCCGGATCTACTCGCCGTGTAAAGCGTTCCCGACTTCAGCCCTCTTGCCAAAGTCATAGCTCCTCGGCCGACCTTCCACTTTTCGTCTCCAAACATTGTGTGGAAGCCGTCATTGTCCAGCTCGTCCAACCGAGATGAGATTCCTCTTCGATCCCGGAATGTGTCTCACATCACGTAGGGTCCAACATGACCCATTTGCGGACTTGATCTCGCACATCTCCCTTCCCTATAATTTTTAGGGATTTGTTGTCTCGCAAGATATACCAAGCCAAAATCACCTGCGGTGTATGGCTCCATGATGTCTCCGCTACCGCATGAGTGAAATGAGGCCCCCGAGTCCACGATCCAGGTCATCGAGCGAGCTTCTCACACTCAACAAGAGTGCATCCGCCGTGTCCTCCGTCGCGGCATTGGCCGTCCGACCTTCTTTGTCTTTCCTTGGTGCCCGGCATTCGCTTTTCATATGCCCAGGCTTCTCGCAGCTCCAACACACCATCTCTTTCTTGCCTTTATTCCTTCCCCTGGATTTTGACCTCCCACGGATTTTCCCTCGTGTTTCGGGTCTCCTCTCGGACTCGTATGTAGGCTGAGCCGACGACCCACCCGCCTGATTTCTGCGGGTCTCCTCGTTCAACATCATATCTCTTATGTTGTCGAACTTCATCTTCTCCTTGCCGAAGAAGTGCTCACCGAAGTAATGACCACGTCCCAACCGTCCAAGCAATGATGAGAGCAAGATTAGGGCTTTTACCTCATCATCAAACGAAATATCCACCGATGCCAACTGCGTCGTGAGTTGGTTGAAATCGTTGAGATGATCGGCCACCGACTTTCGCTCCTCCATTTGCAATTTGAACAGCTTTTTCATCAGCATCACCTTGTTTATTGCCGATGGTTTTTCATACATGTCGGCGAGTATCCGCAAGACCTCCTTCGTGCTTTTTGCTCCCTTCACATGGTAGGCGACGTTCCGAGAGAGCGAAAGAATTATAGCGCTCATCGCCTTCCGATCGAGCACCTTCCATTCATCATCGCTCATCTTCTCGGGTTTTTCCCCAAGAGGTGCGTAGAGGTCCTTCCCGTACAGGTAAGCCTCCATTTGCATTCGCCAGAATCCAAAGTCGGAACCATTGAACCGTTCGACTTGAATCTTTCCCTCCATCTTATCTCCAACCTCCTGGCTCTGATACCAGCTTGTTGGGAAATAAAGTCGGATAAGATGGAATAATAATAATACACCAATGTGAGATCAATAAAAGACACGAATATTTGTTAACCCAGTTCGGATTAAATCCTACGTCTGGGGGCGAACCAAGCCAGGAGAATGAACTAGAATAAGAGGATAAACCGAATGTTACAACTCACACAAGCCCGTATGAATACACTCTCTCTACTCTTTCTTCACACTTGGATTGGATACAAATGAGGTTACAAAATGAGGTATTTATAGCCAAACAAATCCTTCTTGAGAGGAAGTTGAGAGGAAGCTCCCTTCCTTTGACCAGGAAGTTGCAAGGAAGCTCCCTTCCTTTGACCAGGAAGTTGCAAGGAAGTAGCCTTCCTTTGACCAGGAAGTTGCAAGGAAGTAGCCTTCCTTTGACCAGGAACTTACGAGGAAGTTCCCTATCTTTGACCGATCTTTACACCTCAACATGAAGTACGTAGACATGCAGCAGAACATGCCCATCCATGAAGAATTTGGACGTGAATCTATATATTTCATCAGTATCCAAGATATACGGTTTCAATCACAAGTCATAAATAATTTTTCTACTAATCAATTCACGACAAATAAATTCGAAGCACAACAATATTTAATATAAAAAAGATAAGAATTTTCTTCTCTCTGAGCCAAAATTTACCTGCATAGAGCTAAGGTTTTGACAAAGGCATCGAACTCATGACTTACGAATGAATCAAACAGGGATGTTAGATTTCATCAAACCTAGTACAAGCTTACACTGTTAATTACGTGCAAATCAACTGTGTACATAGATAATATGACTATTCTTCTTTCAGTCCTAGGAGAATATCAATTAGCAGATGCAGATTAATATTCTGCTTATTGAAGGAACTAGAACCCTTCTTCGTATCCAAACGGTTCAATCACTGATACATTTAAATTTATAAACTGATATAGCCTAAGTTTATAAACATAACATACATCAAGGATAATGAATGCATTTTTTTAAGAAAACATACAATCATTTTAAAAACAATTCCATTAAATTAAATAGGACTTTATTATAGATAGCAAACTCTTTTATAACGAATTTCAGTGTTGCTTTCATTTATAAGTAGAATGTTACTCCATTCAGTTGTGTTTTAGCATTAAGTATGCAAGCATTGTCAGAGCCACATTTGTCTGCGATTTTTTTTTTTTCTTTTGGAAGTGTTTTCACGTCCTTGTTTAAAGATGGGATATTGAGAGAAAAATATGTTTCTTAATTACTTATGATAAGTCATATTCGAGACTTCTAATATACTGGAACATGTTAAAATTAAAAGACAAATTGATTTAGACTCTCTTTCTAGAATCAATATTTATCAACATCAACTTATTTTTGAAATTATATGATTGTATAAGTACATGTTTGAGGTTAAGGAGCAAAAGAAACAAAGACGTTTTCAACATCAATTTTCTCATTCAAATTCACTACACGTGTCATTATGTCTAAAGTTTTTTTTTTTTTTAATATTCACCAATTTCCTTACTGTTTTGTCTATATTAAAATACACCTTGATAGAATGAGGGGAAAATATATTTATAAATTATCCTAATTAACCATACTTTTTAAAATATATTTATAAATTATCCAAAATAAACCCTATCATCAAGACCAAAAAGCCAAGAATATAACTTAAGTCTCTTATTAAGCTCAATATATTCTAATACCAAATTTACTTATATAGTTAAAGTAATTGTCCTCAAAATAATATCTATTATAATAATAATAATCGATGAGACAATCATAATTCTATCCTTACTAAAACTTATCTTAACAAAATAAGAAAATATTTATAAACTGTATAATCAGTCTCAACTCTTATAAAAATCAGCATACCAACATGAACTCCTTTCCTGTGAATTTTTCAGGATTGAAGCCGGAGAGAGTTGAAACCTAAGTTTATGATTTTATAATTTAGATTTGTAGTAATTTTAATTAGTTGGTGGTGTAAAATTTTACTAAATGTATATAAAGCTAAATATAAAAAGTATACTTAAAAAAGTTATGTGGTATATAATACCAATATGGCTAAGGAATATTCCTGCTTAATCTCCATAATAACTTCTGATCAAGTTTAAACGAAGAAAATAGAAGCTAAAATATAAACATGGGGAGAATAGTTTTTTAATTAAAATGCTATTGAAACTTTATGAAAGAAACACTTCAATGATCCAAATTTGGAAACATGAATATCAACTCAGAACCAAAATAGGCAACAAACAGTTTCAGTCGAACAAATGTTAGAATCAAAGCTCCATGTGGCACAAAATTAATAACTCTGAGATTTAAATAATGCAATGTTTGTACAGTGAAACGATACCTGCAATAATTTATGCAATAAGCTGTCTATATATTCCACTTTCAAATCATAAGAGAAAACAATGAATATAACCACTGTCTGCATAATTATTTATACGTACGAACCCATGGCACCACCAATTAGGGTTTTTTTTTTTGCTGGAACTAGAATTTGTGATCATTTTAGCACAGGATGCGCATGTTCACAGTCGTCAACCCCAATTTTCCCAACAAAAGAACGCAAACAGGATTTGAATAACATAAATTTCACATGGAGAAAAGAGGAAAGGAAAATGGTTTCTACATGAAGAAGGTCCACCATCTCTTTTACCAATCTTGGAACTTGGTATGAATCCTAGTGAGAGTTAAGTTTTATTCTGAAAAGACATTGTAGGCACTCACACACTAATAGTCCCATAGGCATGTGTAGCCTCGGGCCTTTATGGTGGAGTACCTTTAATTATGCCCTCTGCCTCAAGCATCTTCCATCAAAATTAAAAGAAAGAAATATGGCGGGGGAGGAAGGAGAATCACGCACCCACAAACAGAAATTTGCATTTTGTGTGCATGCAATTAAGGAAGGTTCTCTACGCAAGGCACACAACAAAAATTGCTGCACGTCCATGGTATTAATGCTAAAGAGAATGCTAAAATGTGGGTGTTCAAGAAGCCAAACGTTTCCTAGAATTTTTGCCTTTTATGCTTTTAGTTTAATAAAACGGAAGAAGCTTGACAACTTGCAAGGGAGAGGACCCACATACAGAATTACGCATGATGCTTTTTCTGACTTGATCGAACTGAGAAGAAAAAAACAAGAGGAATTATATAAAAAAATGTTTATTGGACGAGAAATCCATGCATCTTGTGTACAGCCAATCAATTAAGAACCGATTCCAAGGGACCCATTTTCTATGTTTATGACCAGGGGAGAGAGAAAGAGTGTGTGAGGGAGAGAGGAAAAGGGAAAGGATAATTTGTCACATATCGTGACTAATGATTTCAGTACAAACATCCCAGACCCAAAGGCAATTATTGAAATGAGCCAGATTAATATATATTAGAAGTGGTTGAAGCACCTGCACGGATGCACCTGATATATCTATAACCTTTTTTTTTATTATAATTATCTTTTTGTTTTCCTTATAGACATTGTATTTTCTCTAACTCTATATTATGTAGCATATTTTAAAGGTGGGGAAAACACACTCCCTTGATAGACATTATAAATATGGAGCTCACACTCCCTTTCTGGGCAGGATCATCAACTTGTATTCCTCGGTCTCAGTCTCTCAACTTCCTTCTCTCCTTTTTCTTTCCTTGTCATACTCTTGCAATGGCTAGAATGCCTTTAGAACCTCTTATAGTGGGGAGAGTCATAGGAGAGGTTCTTGACTCTTTTACCACTAGCATAAAAATGACTGTGAGTTATAACAAAAAGCAAGTTTACAATGGCCATGAGCTTTTCCCTTCATCTATCAACACCAAACCCAAGGTTGAGATTGATGGTGGTGATATGAGGTCCTTTTTCACACTGGTATCTTTTTTCCTTCTTTCTTCTTGTTCCTTTTTCTTTAATGAACAAACTAAGGGGGAAGAAGGAAAATACTTGAGCTGTTTGCCAGTGTGTTTATTTCTTGTTTTGTGTAATCATGTTGACACAGTATGTCTGTTTTGTTGAAAACTAAATCATTAAGTTAATGTCTCCCTTTTTGGCGCAGATTATGACAGACCCTGATGTTCCAGGCCCTAGTGACCCTTATTTGAGAGAACACTTGCACTGGTACTTAATATAAACTTTGTTTAAATACTTAGAGTATGTAAACACCAAGTATCCATTTATTGCATAAATGACACACCAACCCATCCCACATAACTACGGGATTCTCTTAACAACTCAATCTAAATGAATATTTTATGATATATAACACTTTGAAAGTAATGAACCAGTTATTCATCTGATATTCCTGTTAGATGTCTGTATATTTAATGTAGTTTGAAGGTTTGCAAGATATATGCATTCCTTTCATCACATCAAATTATTACAGAGGTAACAAACACTTACATCACAGGAAGAAGGTACATACATACATGCATACCTCAGTGTTCTGTGAAAGTTGTAAAAGTTGCCGCTGTTATAGCTACCATCATCTATCCACCCTAAAATCAAAACAATTTTAAAGGGTGAATAAATCTCGATGACTTAACAACAAACATAACAGAACTGCATACACACATAAGGTAAACAAGCCATTCATAGGTATCTAACAGTTAAGTATTTTGCTGTAAATATTCTTTCTGCAGGATAGTGACAGACATTCCAGGCACAACAGATGCTACATTTGGTAGGTTCATGTAAATGATTGATCTACTAGGCAAAATATATTTGGGAACTTACTTGCTGATCTGATCATTCGAGGGACTGACAAATATGATGTTTTGTAGGGAAAGAGTTGGTGAGCTATGAGATCCCAAAGCCTAATATTGGGATCCATAGGTTTGTGTTTGTCCTGTTCAAGCAAAAGCGTAGGCAGTGTGTTACTCCACCTACTTCAAGGGATCACTTCAACACACGCCATTTCGCAGCACAAAATGAACTTGGCCTCCCTGTGGCTGCTGTCTACTTCAATGCACAGAGGGAAACGGCTGCAAGAAGACGCTAGCTTCCTACCTAGCTCCTAGGTTCCTGCTCCTAGTTGGTGCTTATTTGCCACTGCACCCAAAGTAGTATTGAATAAAGTGATAAGTACATGGAGTTTCAGTACTAGAAGTGGCTCATGTGCCTCAAATAACCCGCAGAGCCAAGTGAATCATTTTCTAGTTTGACTAGTGTGTATGCTATGTTTAACTTTTCCATCAGATGTGTACGACCTGTATTACAATGTCCTACGTGTATTATTATTACCTCGTGGATACTCCTATGAGGTGTTCTTATATAAACTAATAAGAGGTTTTGTACGCCATGTCGTTTCCTTTCCTATAATAGTTTAGGGTTTCCCTTTGGTTCCTTCTCATTGAGGGTTTCACTGCCTTCTCTATTCAATCTTTTTCTCTCATATACACAACAACCTTTTCAACACAGTAAAGTGTTAATTAATTACATGGGACTTTATTAGTCACTTGTACACACTTTCTTGTCATGTTCATTATTTTTCCTCCACTCAGATGTTAAAGTTTTCATATTATTTCAGTTTGCCCCTCCACGACATCTACTTTTTGCTTACTTGATGGATTGTCCCTTCAGGAAGGAATACAGTGATTTCAACACCAGTTAATTTCCAGCATGTATTTGCAGAAGGAAAATGTGATATGTTTTACCGTTTAATAGTGTGTTTTGGAAACTATTTGCACCCTTTTAAATGCAGTTTTACACCTTCCAATGTACTAACATAGTGCAAGTTTGAACTAAACTTCAAATATTTCTATTTGAATTCAACTTAAGTTTATAAACTCAGTACATAGAAACGACTGAAGTCCTATGAAACTGAGTTTTCACACAAAACTTTTATATGTACAAGTATTTTTTAAAATGAGCAAAACACATTTGTAAACACACAGACTCTTTATTTTTATACCCAAGTAGTCTCTTTCTATATTGGATCGTTTTGTTTGAGAAAATAAATAATATTTATAGTTCTGACTCTATTTTTGTGTAAAAAATTCAACTCTAATCCTTAATTTAGAGAAACATGGTGAACTGTATCAACGACTTTTGACATAAATATCATATTTTTATTGGATGTAAGAAGGGATGTCTTAATTACATTTAAGCCGATAATTAAAGCAAAACAAACTGAAGCTACACACTAATCCAATAAGACAAAACATAAAATTAAACCAAAAGAAATTGAAACCTTTAATATATTACAAATGAATTTGTTATTTTATTTTATTAAATTGTGGATGTAGTTTTAAAAATCGATCTAATCCAGAATGAATAGTATAGTTTTATTTATGAAATTTGAATATTATACAAATTTGTATAAATATATATTTATAAAATTGCAATCTCAATTTATTTTCGTATTATGTTCTAAAAATTATATGATATTATTTAATATATTTAAATAGGTTAATGAATTTTATTTAAAATGCTTCATTTTTGCCTCATAATCTTCAATATTTTAATTGAATATAAAAATTTAATATCACCCAATACAGATATTAACGAGTGGGAATTTTATTTTTATTTTAAAAAACTAGTGAAAGATTTGTTCTATCTTAAATTAGTATAATTAATTAAATTTTATTAGTCATAGTAGTCCTTCTTACTCATGAAGTGTCCAATGTAATAATAACTATATATTGATCACGATCTGAAACTTTTTGTTATCTATTTCACGTGAAAAAGACTTCCCCATGGATAAAAGATACTTGTTGTAACTAATGGTTATAGCATACATGCACTACTATTTAAATGAGTGGTGTATCCTAAACTTATTTTACATAATTATGTTCAAATACTAAACCGTTTAGAAGATTTCTTAAAAATAAAAATTAATATTTTAATGTAAATTTAATGTGTTTTAAAAAAAATAAAAATGATATATATTATTTATTTATTTTAAGTAATTTTATATTTCAATTTTACAATAAAATAACTTTTTTACTTTTCAAATGTTTTTATAATGGAGATGCTCTGAAATAAAACGAGTGTTTAAATTATTTCTCTCTTTTTTTTCAGCCCACACTCGATATGAGAAGTAGCTTTTTTTTTTATTGATAAGAGATTTTTCTAACATTACTTATACATTTTAGATGATTTCACTTAAATGAAAACTTGAGACAAAGAAAGAAAACTCTGCTATAATAACCATAGAAGAAACTTAAAAAGAGAAATCTTCACCTAATCTTCGATAATTATGATTATTTGTCCCCTTCTCATATGAGTAACTAAACGTTTCTCTTTCAAATTAACTTTAACCAACCAACTCTTATGTATTGATTTTGATCTATATTTAACCACATATATACTTATTAATTATTTCATATTGCTAATCTTGATCAAAACTTCTTTGTTAAATATTAAAAAAATGATATTTAGCAATATAACAACATTTATCAAATATAAAATAAAATTATAAATAAGATTGGGAACTATAGAAGAGTTAAGTTAGATAAAATATAATCTCAATATTCTTGTATTGATCTTTCTTCCAAATATGGAAACAATCCTAGTAATTTATTTTCATTTTATTAGAAACATGGTTCACTGATTTTATAAAATTCTATTACTTTAATAGATAAAATTGTAGAACAATCTAATATTATATAAGCTATAGTGGATATATCATAATCTTTTATTTAAAAAAATAAAAAAATAAAATATCTCAAAATAAATATTTGCAATGTTTCTTAATTTTATAAGGTAATAATTTAATAAATAAATCACAATTTGCCATTAATTTAAATATTTAATAAATAAGTTTATGGTCTGTTAATATGTTTTCATACAGATATAAACATACGCTTATGATAATATAAAAGGCAATTACCGAATATAATCAATTTATATGTAATATTTCTCTATGTGTTTAAAAGCAAAAGAAAAGGATCAAGATCCAAATTTTATCTTTTCTCATTTTTAAAATTCTAAATGGCACTTAAAGGTGGCAAAATACGTAACTAATCAATGTAGATAACGTGTTTGATAGCTAATGATAAAAATATATGTAGAAATATTGATGATTTATTTGTATCTCTTTAAACAACTAAATTAACCCTTTCTGATGTCAATTGAACTTGTTGCTTTAGAAGCATGTACTTCAATTTTGCTCATATATACAATAAAAGAAGCGATGGAAAATTATCAAAACCACTGAACACGGAAATTATAAATCTCTGTCTTCTAGAGTTAAACCATATAAAATAATACAAACTGTCAATAATCTAATTGCATATTAAAATATACTCAAGTGTTCACTTAATTTGTATATCTGACAGAGTGCCTTATTCCATTCTTGATATATCATTTTAGAACACGCTTTCCGAAATGGGTTCTTTCGCAGGCTCCAAAAATTCTATGGCTCAAGTTAATGATGCATCGGATTGGCATTGACTTGTTTACCTTGTCCTTGAGCATATAATCATGTTCGAAACAAACTGTTATATCGGCTTTGAATTCAAACACAAGTTATCTATCTATCTATCTATCTATCTATCTATCTATCTATCTATATATATATATATATATATATATATATATATATATATATATATATATATATATATATATATATATATATATATATATATATATATATATAGAGAGAGAGAGAGAGAATCTAAAATTAATCTACTATTTATCAGTGACAGAAACACCATGGTTTGAGGTATTTTTCATGACTGCTTGTCTAGCCCAACTATCCAAGTGGTGCTCTTTCCCATTTATGAAAGCGGGCTTTGGATTTTTAGAGTATGGGAATTGAAAAGATGAAGGTTAGGTAAAGTTTAAGCTGAAGCTCCAGTGGATACAAATGTGGAGAGGAGTTTGGAGTTTGTGGCACACCCATCACCAATTCACCACACCCTCTCTTCTTCCCTAATACTCACAAACCTTGTGCCACTGCCACATATTCAACACAGATGCAGCCAACACATATCAATACAAACATATGTGTGAACCATCCAGCATTTCACACAGCTAATGTCGCAACTAAGTTCCTCACTTAGTTTCTCCATATAAGCATAATCACTTCAGTTTTCATACATGCAAGAAGGGCACGGGCACCAATCATGAAGTTTTCCAGATCTACCAATCTGAAAATATTCCAGATCCACCAATTCAGATGTTTCCGGATCTGCTGTTCCGTAATTTTTTTGGAAAAGTAATTCCAGATCCATTTTTTAGATCAGATTTGTGCTTCTAAATAACAGGGAATGTTTTGGAAATCTTCCTTATTACAAATGGAGACGTGTCAAATTTAGTCCTACAAATCCGGCCTGAAAAGTGAAATATGTACTTTAATTATATATTATAAGTTAGTCATATTTCTAATCGATATAGAATATCTCTGACACATTTTAATCGATGTAAAATGTCTCTGACACATTCCCGTGAATATCTCGAGTGTGGACCTAAATATTAACCGTGATCTGATAATGACGTGATAACGAATGGAATAATAGATCAACAAATATCAATAAAATATACTCTAATACCATATTAGAAATGGAAATATACTTAATTTAATTTTACAAAACTAGTTTGTTAAGTGAATTAAGTGAAGTTACACCTCGATTATATATTATAAATTATTCATACCTCTAATCAATGTGAGATCTCCAACACAATTAAATTTCATTTATCCCTGCACCACCCTACATGTGAACTCTTTGGGAGAGTTGTGTTAAATGTAGTCTCATGATTAGTAATCCCACATTGACTAGACATAAAACTTAAAATAAACTTATAAATTTTGGATAATTATCATCTTAATTCTTAAAAGTCAATTTTGAGGCAGAATAAAACTTTAAACCTAAATTCTAATATGGTTTCAAGAGTCAACACTTACATTTGTCCCGCTACATATCAAGTTGCCTTAATTACACTCACTCCTAACCCACCTTAGTGACAATTTTTTGAGGGGGCTTCCTAAATTGTATCCTCAAAAGGAGGAGTTTAGTCTCAACATTGCCTAGAAATATGAATTAATAAGACCTTATCAAGTTTAGGCAATCCTCCTCATCTTATAAGTTGGTTTTATAAAATTGAATTAGTTCTTAAACTCAAATTCAATGAGTTAAAAATCTATGCTCCAAACCAACAAGTTTCATAGGTAACAATATCATTGTCAAATTTGCTACAGAATTACAATACAATGAGAACAAGATTTCAGAATGTAGGTTTCAGCAAACTGGCAAATGAACATCAAAATAAAATTCGCACCTAAAGGTCAGTTTTGCACATGGAAAACTTTGATAGTGAAAATATTTATGACAATTGAATTCTCTTACAGCATGACTATATTTAAAGCTCCTTAAACATAAAGACAGCACTCTACAGCTTTTCAAGATGCCACTTATGCAAGTATATTCCAACCATCATAATCATGGTGGATGTTAAGGCATCTTGTCATAACTATATATGTCTTCAAATCAATCGATCAACAAAATATGCCATATCACACCATCAAAGAACAGAATTATACACCCCAGTTAAATAGCAATAAGCTAAGCAACAGCAATACCTCTGATAACAATGTGTCAACGTGATGGACATGCCTTCATCGCGTGTCTGACGCCCATCAACAATGTCACAATTAAAATTGTATTTTTAGACTCAAACACCTCTTGAATACTGCTTGGACACCTTTCTGACATGGCTTGAGCAAGAGTAAAAAGAGTGAATTAATACCTATTTTTGGCTAAAGACTTTTGGGATCCTATCATCAAAAAATCAACTTGTATTATAAATATTGCAAGACTCAAAGCATTTTATGTACAAGCTTGCTTTTTTAGAGCTAATTACTTCTTGTAATATTCTTTCGGTATTTTATATGTTGTCATTATATGAAAACTATAATGCTTAACAACTTTGCTTTTAGAATATGAATTATAGAAATATAAATCTTAATTCTTAATTAAGACTTTTGTCATGTTGATTATATGTATGTATGTATGTATACATAGATGTGTCCCTGTGTCCTACATTTTGGACATTAGCCATGTTCTGTTATCTGTGTTAAAGTTGATGTTTCATAGGTGATAAGCCCAAAGAAGGCGAGTCTGGGTGGAGAATGTAAGAATGGATATCACTTTAAAACAGCTGAGAAACACCCTTCCAAAGAAAATGCCACTTACAATTGAATACAGTTTTCGATTAAAATGCAATTGTCCCTTTGTTCTATATCTCCCTCGTATTTATACTCGACTTCTAGTAGCTATCTTGTTCCTTTTAGTGTACACATTTATAACTGCCTCTTCTTGCTTCCAAACAAATAGTCATAACTCCAGCACACAAAAACATGTTACATCTGAGTTGAAATCCCCTTACCCCAGCAGCATTGCTTTAAGTTTGGATCGCTAAGCATTCCTCCTGAATCTCTAATGAAGCTAAATTGAAGAGCCCAAACGGCTCGACCAGGGTACATTTGTTAGAGTTTATTTACAGCTTATCTAGATTTATCGTATAACACTTGTATAAGTATCTGAAAAAATAACATGTTTATAAGCTATTTTTCAATTTACTTCAATAAGTCCTTCAAGATTAGCTTAAGAAAACAGCTTACAACTTATATGAAAACAATTTCACCTTATTTCCTCTTTACACGATCAACGTATACACAAGTAATTGCATGATAAGTTGTTTACACCAAACAGATCAATATCTGCTTCATGAAGCTATTTACCTAAGGACAAAACTTACATGTAGTAGTACTACAAGTATGGTTAGCTCTAGTTTAGAATATCAACTCTGTACTTCGCCATGAAAATTAATAGAATCCTCTACTTGGATTATCATGGCAAAACACCAATTCGAATTTTAATTGGAGATCAACCTTAGTAATATTGTATCTAAGATTTGTCATTTACACAAACACGCTCACGTCTAATTTAGATAAGCACACTGTTTTAGATAAGCACACTGTTGAAAGTTCCACATCGCCTACCTCATATCATTTGGTATGGTTTAAATACATGTTAGGCTACTCCACATATTGCCAATTGGTTTTATGTTGGAACCTTAACATGGTATCAGAGCCAAAGCCTAACATCTTTCCGGTTATTGTCAAAGCCTAACATCTTTCCGGTTATTGTCATGGGCCAAAAGTTACCCTTTAGTTGGGTCAAAAGTACGTCCGGCGGGCTTCGTTGGAGGGGGTGTGTTGAAAGTCCCACGTCGCCTACCTCATATCATTTGGTATGGTTTAAATACATGTTAGGCTACTCCATATTGCGAATTGGTTTTACGTTGGAACCTTAACACACACAATTTGCTTTTCTAATAACTTATGACTTTCCTTCTAGCGTCACTAAGTCACATACAAAAACCGTAACTGCAAGAAGATTTGCCGACAGCCTTCCAAAATCAGAACAGAAATGTAAATTAAATATATATTTTATATATACCTCCACAACACACGCATATAACCAAGGAAAACTTTAGAAAACACAGACATTCAATCAAACTAATAACTCCATTTTCTATATCATAATACGACTGCACCAAAAAATTACAAGGTTCATAATGCAGGAATAACTAAAACCATGAGAACAGGGCTCCAAAACTCTCAGCGCCAAGTACACATCCCTAGAATATGACAAGCAACGAAAACAGAGTGTAAATCAAGAAGGACGCGTACGCAATCAGTCCTCGATGTTCATCACCGCCATCAGCGAGCGAAACGACGAGACCAGTGGAAGCCCTCGTGGCCCACAACACGAAAATCGCAGCGACCGAAAGGCGAATGACCCCATCGACCGGTAAGAAGAGCGAAAGCGCGGAGAAAATTACCACCGGCAACATGCAGTAACCGACGACGCTGGTACAGGTGTGTAGGTCGAGGTTACCGGTTCGACCGGCTAGCATGTTGAAAACGACGTAAAGGAAAATGGAAGAGACCACGATCCAGCCCAAGATCACGCCGAATTGGATCTTTCCTGCGAGCAATTGGAAGAGGCAAAAGGACATGTAAAGGAGGATTGGGCCTGATAGATCCGAATCTTTGTGAACCGTGTGGTTGACGCGAAATGGATTCAAAACGGATCTGATTTTGCTCCAGATTTGCTCCGGGTGGATCCCGAGCTCGTCGAGAAGGGGCTCCTCGTCGTCGAAGTTGGCAGAGCCACCGACGCCCACGACGGGGCCGGTGTAGATTGGACCTGAGGAGGTGGACGCCGCGGCGGAGCCTATGTCGAAGGACATGAAGGGGATGCCGGAGTTCGGTTGAAAAGGAGGCGTGGGCATGCGCCGCTGCTGGAGGTTCGGGGCCGCACCGCCGGGGTTTCCGGCGGATGGGAAAGCCACCGGCGGGACTTTGAACTCTTTATTCGCCATGGGATTGAGATCTGGTTGGAGGAAGATAATTTCGCGGTGGAATTAGGGTTTTGAGAAGCTTCGATCTACGAATTTGGGGTTTGTCGTTGTTCTATGAGTGCTGTAAGCGACCACGGCGTTATTGGAACTTTTTTGTGGCTTCGTTCGACTCGGTGACATTTACTTAATGGCATGGAGTTTTATGTGCTTAAACGGATTGAAAATGATGGTGCTTAACTTAATTTACAAGAAAAATGTTACAATTTTTAAGACATATTATTTTATTTTAAAATTTAATTTCTATAATAAAACAGCGTTAATAATGTACTTTTTAACTGTCCTTTTTCATTAGTTAAAATTTAGTAAACATTAAAAATTATTAGTAGAATTCGTTAAAGAACAAGTGACAACTATATCATCTATGATTTTAATATTTTTTAACTAATAATAAATAAAGTTACAAACTTAAAAAAATTCCAAATTTTTAAGTCCAATTTGATGTAAAACTGTTCTCAAATCATAAATTATGACTATAATGTTAACTTGCGCATTGGGTAAATTAGTTTGAGCTGTCAAGAAAGAAACTTTTGAAAATTTGTAAAAGCTTTTTTACATTATTTTCTAAATTTTATTTTTAAATTAATTTAAGCTAACTTTAATTTATTTGAAGTTTATTTCATATTTTATTTTATCTTATTTTTCTTTCTTTTTATCTTCTATCTATTTTATTTTATATTTATTTTTCTTATTTTTATCTTTTAAAATTGTTTGCAGATAAATTTGTCCGACAACTCCTTAATAAGTTAATCTATATTCTGGAAGTTATAAATGGGCTTTATAAAAAGTATTGGTTCATGCCCATGAGATGAAGCCCAATTATGCATCTATTATTAAAATTTGGATTTGCCCTTTCTACCTTTATAATAATACTAAGCCTTATAGCATTTTGCCTCTCAACTCAATAATGTTCTTTCTTCCTGCACCCCATAATTAAATTAAATCCTATTTTATTTCTATACTTATTTTTATTTTTTATGAGTATTTATTTCAATTTTTAAGTCCTATTAAAACATTTTCATCATTTCCTCTCTTATTATTCTAAAAATTACAAGAAACAGGTAAGAATATCCAATTTTATTTATTTTGTATCAAATTTTTACACATATTCATATAAAAAAATGGTTGGAAACACATTACAGGGAGTGAGAAAACTGGAAAAAATTGTCAAAAAATATGTTCCAAAATGTGTTTTCTGAAATGTATTTCTAAAAAATCAATTTTAGAAATATACTCCGAATGCACTTTCTATAATACATTTTGAAACTGATTTTCCGGAATACATTTTGAAATTGATTTTCTAGAAAGTGTATTTAAAAAATGTATTCCGGATTAAGTATTTTGGAATGTTTTTTCGAAAAGACCAATCTAAAAATACATTCCACATTGGATGTTCTAGAATGTGTTTTTGGAAAAGTTAATCCCAAAAATGCATTTCGAACGCACTTTCGAAATACATTTACGGTTTGACCTTTCTGGAAACATATTCCCGAAAAAGTCAATTCATAAATTCATTCCAGATTAGATGTTCCGAATTCAACTTCATTTTCGTGACATTGTTTCATATTAAACAATTTAGATCTGTTTGTGTAATTTAAGTGCAATAATATATAATTCATACATAATATTAATATTAATTATTACTTACCTCTAATTATTAGAAAAGGTTTTCAATGGAGGTGATTGTAAATAAAAAACAAATAACTAAGGAATAAAGATGTTAAGGGATAAAGGTACAAAAGTTGTACACAAACAGTAGAAGAAGTTGTTAGGGTAAAATAAAAATTATGAGAAGAGTATTTAGATATCTTACTTAAAATATGAAAGTGTAAGGAAAAATTATGGGAAGTAGGAAACAAGAATCCTCAATAATAATTTAATTGAAATTAAGAAATTACCTTTCATAAAAATATTTCACATATATTTGTTTAGAAACCACATTAATCATCTACTAAAAACAATAATAACAAAACTAAATAAAATTACTATGTAGTAAACATTTCTTTTTAACTTTTTTAGTGGTATTTACAAGTTTACATATATAGTTTTGATTTTTCTTATCTTTAAACACTTTTTTAACGTGATCATTAAATTAATTAATTTAGTTTTTCTATCAATCGACATTAAAATTCACTAAAAAAAAGGTTATTATCTACAAAATATTATCTACGAATAAAAATCCGTAGGTAAATTTTACATTACCTACGGATAAAAATCCGTAGGTAAATTTTACATTACCTACGAATTCTATCCGTGAATAAGTAATGTCATCCGTGGGTAATTCGTAGGTTACCTACGAATATTATCCGTAAGTAAATTATATTAAACTAAAAGAATTGTCACTAGCAAGAATCGAACCCGATACTTTAAAGTTAAAAACTAATACTCCAACCACTAAACTATTAGGATATTCTAATAATAATTTACAAATAAATTATAGTTATATTTATTCGTGTAAATATATAAATACATAAATATAAATATATAAATATATAATCATTAAAGCCACTCTATTTACAAATCTAAAATTTATTATTAATAATTTTGGTTTATCATTTCATCTACATAATTTTGCTTTTGGTAAAAATAAAAATAAAAAATCATCTAACTCTAATCATGACGTAGACCTAACTTATTCATGTCATGCTAGAAAGGTGAGTCTATTTTCCTTTTAAGATTAAGAATTTAAAATGTTTTTAGATAATGTAAATCATTTCATCATAAAGTATATTTCGAAAATATTGTTAAGATGAATTAAAAAATTGATTTTTTTTTCATAGATATTAACTTTTAGTTCTTTTTGAAGATATATATATATATATATATATATATATATATATATATATATATATATATTAATCCAAATATAAACTGTAAATTGATAATATATTAAATGTGATAACTAAGACATGATATTATTTTTTAATTTTTTAATAAATATTCTCATTTTTAAGATAATACAGTTAAATTGTTTAAGACTATTAAATATTAAAAATTATGAAGATATTTCTTAAGTTGATTTGAATATTGATTTGTTAAGTTGGGACATAGTAAAGAGTTTTTTTTTTTTTCAAACTAACTCCTTCTACTAAACCAATCCTAGTTAGTTTACTTGAATACATAATTGTTTGTTAGAGTCTTGGAGGATTATAGATAAATGATAAATAACAAATATTGATAAAATAAATAAATTTAACATATTTTAAATAAAAATAATAATGTAAATAATAATATTCTAGTAATAATTTTTTTAATGAAAAATTAATGGAATTTTATAAAATAAAAGTATCATAATTTTTTTGTTTAAATATATTTTTAGTCCATTTTTTTAATGAGTTTTCGTTTAGGTTATTATAGGAAAAAAAACTAGTTTTCAACCCTATAACTTTTGAAATCATTTTTTTAGATTTTTGTAAAATATGAATTTTGATTTTATTTTCTTTATAAGATGTTTTTAATTGATTTCCATCACTCCAAAATTATAAATAATATATTATAGTTCTTAATATTCCTTTCAAGACGGATGAATAATATTTATTTTAAGAATCTAACATTTTTCTGAACTGATAATAATTGTCATTTGACATTTTATTCAACACATAAGTAGTTAAGAGTGCTGCATAATACTATAGAGAGCAAAAATAACAATCTTCAATTTTGAAAAGGTAAAATAAAAAATAAAAAATTATATAAAAGAAATCACTCACTTTATAAACATTAAAAACATATTTAAGTTTATATTGTAATATGTTAAGAAAGAAAATCATATAAATTTTAATATAAGAAATATGAAAATATAAAAATCACTTCTCTCAAAAAGGGAGAGTGTAATTTATTTATTTATTTTTTAAAATTTACCTAAAACATTATTTCATTTAAATGCATCAAATGGCAAAATTATTTTTTATTATATGTACTAGTGATTGCTCCCTGATTCATGGCCATGGAAATATTTCTTCAAAACAATAATATTTTGAACTACCCTCTTAGCATTACATGGGAGGCATCTAAAATCATTTCCCCAAATATCACTGTTTACAAGAAGGATTGGAGGATAAACTTGTGAGCCAGATAGAATCACTAACAATGGCTTCATCGTTATCGTTCCTGTGCCAGGTCCATTGAGCATGAGATGCATTCACTACTTCCAATACACCGTGTCCAAAGCTAGCCTCCCTGAACATTGATATGGATGGCATAGGATTTCTGTACCTGTTCATGCACCAAACATAGTAGATAATTCATTAATGAAAGATCATAAATTTACACAACAAAATTTTGGTGAAAGAGTTTAAGTGCTCAAAATTAAGATTGCTCAAGAAGAAGAAAAGATCAAACGCAAATTACCTGGTCGCAAGGCCTTCACGGTTACCCCCATCTCCGATTGTGATATGCACTGGAGCACAATTGTTAGGTTTGTCTTTATAAACCCGTGTCTGACAAAACAAAATATAGGAAAGTAACTGATATGAAGTAGTTCTGTCAAGAAACAAACATATGAAATAGTAACAATATATGTAATACTTACAAAGCGTTCATAAGCATGAACATGGCCCGCAAAAACAACATCAACACGGGCTTGGTAGAGCAAATCTTCCATGGAAGCTTTCATTTGAACGGATTCAGGCTCACCCTGATGAGCGGTGTTGGAGTTGTACCAAGGGGCGTGAATGAGCACCAGTATCCAGGGAGTGTTTCTCCTGTTAACCTTTCGCAAGTCACTTTGAAGCCAACTGTATTGCGGAGAAGACGAGTCAAATTGGGTGTAGGAGCCAAGCATGATGACATGAACACCAGCCACATCGAAAGAATAGTAGAGGTTAGAGTTTGATCCACTTTCTTCAAAGGGCATATGCCATCTAGAGTTGTATGCTGTGAATGGCGTTTGGTGAATGACTGGAATTTTTTCAACTTCATGGTTGCCTTGGGTGACCATCCAAGGACGCTGGCTAGCTAATGGTTCAACCAATCCACCAAATGAGTCCCACAGATTTTGAATCACGTCTGCGTAGGATAGATCACCGGGTAGAAGCAGCATGTCGTAGTTTGACTTATCCACATGATCCAAGGTCGACCTGGTCCAACCCGTTTGTCCAAGATCTCCTGTGTTCATCCATTAAAAACACATAAAGAGAGCACCTTTTTTCATTGACTAGGTTTCGCTAAACATGTCATGAGTATCATTATTATCCATTACCTTTTAATCATTTATTGTAAGAACTAACTACTTATTCACTAGCTACAATTAGAGGCTTATAGGGTTTAATGGGAAATGAGGAGTTACCAACTACTGCAAACTTAATGGGAAGTTGAGAAGGAGGAGTCTTGAAGTTGTATGTTTGAGAAGAGGGAGGGTCACCCAAACGGTAGTAGTAGATGGAGTTAGGGTTGAGGGGACCAATTACCACGTCATGGATTTCACCGGACTTGTACAGCACATAACGGTAGGAAGAGGTGGTCCCTGTGGCAGATAATGCATTTGCAGAAGGAGATGGGCCGAACCAAACCTTTGCTGAAGTTGGGCTCTTTGTGATCCATGATATCCTCATCTTGTTTTGGCCCACTTGAGATATGTGTACCTAAAACATCCACCCATTCTAACATTAGGATTTACAAATATACTCAGTTCTCAAATTCAGAAATAATTTTGTCATCAAACTTAAAATTTTTTATTTTAGTTCTCTAAATAAAAAAATTATTTTTAAATCTTTCAAATTAAAAAAAAATGACAACAAAAAATATCTTTTATTGATAAAATTCTATTATTATTCTAAAATTTTATTTATTGTTTCACTATATGCTTTATTCTAATTAATATATATATATATATATATATATATTATAAAATATAATTATTATTATATTAAAATTATAAATATTTTTTTTTAAATATAATATTTTTTTTACAAACAACACAATCACTCACATTCCTAATAGTAAACTATATAAAAAATATTATTTAATTATTATTTTATTAAGATGATAAAATGGATTAATTTATTTTGGTTCATCAATCAAAATATAAAAAATGGACTAATCTACCATAATCACAATGGTGACTGACAAATTAGTAGATCAATTTATGAATTTATTTATATATAAAAAACTTTATATACTTTTTTTAAAGATAAACATTTAATTATATAAATAATTTTTAAGTTTTTATTTATTAATTAATATTTTTATTAGATAAATTAAAAAAATTATTATATTTATGTATTAGAATAATTAATTATAATAAATAATTTAACCATAATTGGTTAATATTTATAATTTAAATTATAATATTATAATATATTATATTTCAATATTATGAAGAAAAAAATATTTTTAATTATAAATTTTTTATTTTAATTTTAATATATAAATAATTTTTTAAAATTGGTCAATAAGTTATCATATCCTAAGAAATTAATAAGTTAAGTAGAATGGACCAAATGGAGTTTATAAATTAAAACTATTTTATAAATTAAAACTATTAATCTAGACAAATTAGCAAATCAATTTGTTAAACCACTTTGTCATTCTTACTAAAATATTATGATTTTTTTATTATATATGCTTATAAATTGAAAACATTAAAAAATATTATAGTATATAAATATAGAATTGATATAATAAATATTAATTATATATAACTTACACATTTTATATATATATATATAATAAAGGAATTAATATTTATTAAAGTCAATAGCTCCTCTCTCTCTCTCTCATTTAAATCACATTTTGGCACAATTATTTAGAACACTCTAAAATATTGGGTTCAGCAAGGTAGACGCAACCACGACATATGAGTGTTTGGAGGAGAGAGTAAAAACTAAGGATTAAGCCAATACTTTCATTTGGTAATCAAACATGTTGTCCTCTTCACCAAACTATCAACCGACACTAAATACTAAGGAATTGACGAAGATTACGATGAAACAGTTACTTTTCAGCTAAAAATATAAACCTCAAAATGTTTTCATGGTTGAAATGAAATAATCCCACACTCAATTGATGGGATGAGAAATCTGAACCTCAAACATGTTTATCAAACAGTACATTACCTGGGTCAAATATTAATGAACATTAAAAGCGGGTGAACGTTCAAATACACGAATATCCACCACAGATGAATAAACAATATGAGCGTTCTGAACAGGTTTTCTCTCTCACTTTGCTCACGGGAATGCATATAGATTACCGATGCAGAAAATTAAAAGTTAAATTTGCATAAATGTTGTAGTTAATTGTTTGTTACCTGTTGTGGCATCTGCGAGTCCTGATCCGCATTTGGAACAAAGAGTGTTTGACGAGGTGGTGGCCGATTGTAACTATAAACTGCGTCGAATTCGAAGATTCCGATGATTAGCAAGAACAAGAACCCTAACATGGACATTCTTTGCACCATCATCTTTTTCAAGTTTCGGTGCTAATAATGTTGCAACTAGAACGAAAGAAAGTTGAAATTGAAGAAAGAGGAGGTGGTAGATCAAAATCAGAGAACAGTGTTATATATCAATTTATTGGGTGATTTGAATATTCTACCTCCAACAATGCATTTATTTGTGTATTGAGTTCTTTATAGAGCGTTCACACTTCACATTTTGAACAGTGAATGCGTGAATAAATGTCATACCTTGAACGTGGACGTATCTTGGAACTACACCTGTACGGATATAAATATATAGAATATTCTAATAGGAAAAAAAAATTAATTTTGTGACTCAAGTTTACTCTTTCTTTTCACGTTATTGAAAACCTCTAAAAAAATATTTATTTTGTATTAGGATGAGTTATCCATTTATGGTGACTTTAACTAGAAAAGGAAAATACAATATTCATCTTCAAAAGATTAATTAATATAAAAATATTTTCAATAATAACAAAAAAAATGTACTTGGACAAGAGAATTTAATATTTATATTAAAACAACTTTTATTAATAATCAAATGATAATAATTTTTTTCTAGAGCTCCCAATTCGATTGGTTCAAAAACAAATTTACCATTAAACCTTCTTAAAGTGGCTTAATTAATAGTTTGCACGAAAACTCCATGAAAACCTACAAGAAAGCATTCTGAGAAAAAGTAATTTTGACGACGATAGCGATATATATGTTTTCTTTTCTTTTGTATGGGCGAAGAGTATAAAATTTATGATTGGAAGTACGTGGAGGACATGCAAATTCTTAGTCCTAATCGTGGTTAATGCCTTAATGGGCATGCAACAAGTTGTTTGTCCTGGAATGATAATACATTAAAACTTTACTTGCTTGTACTCTGTCCTTCTTTATCCAACACAAATGTTTTTTTATCCTTTTTAATGAGATTTTCACGGAAACAATAGATACGAATTATTTCATTAAACAATGTTATAACTGATTTAACTCAATTTTGTTTCAAGTGAAAGTTCTAAAATATTATAATATTAATCTATTAATTAAAAATAAATAACTTTTTATCACTAGAAAAAATATTAAATTACCAACAGAAATTTATTTACGAATGTAAATATGTCTATAAACTTAAATTATCGACGAAAATTTATCCACGATCGATAAAAACTTATTCATGTGTATAAATTTATCGATAAATATAAATTATACATAAAAATTTATCAATAGATATAATTTTACTGCAAATTTATATTATCAATAAAAATTTCAGGTCCACATTTATTATCGATATATATATATTTATCAGCAATATATTCATTATTTAATTAAAAAACTAACCTATTATTTATTTAATTAATAAAAACTAACCTATTATTTATTTAAATAATAAAAAATTAATATATTAATTATTTAATTAAGAAAAATTAAGAAAAATTAATATATTAATTATTTAATTAATAAAAATTAATATATTAATTATTTAATTAATAAAAATTAATATATTAATTATTTAATTAATAAAAATTAATATATTAATTATTTAATTAATAAAAATTAATATATTATTTAATTATTTAATAAATATTAATCTATTAATTTTTTGTCTAAATATTAATTTAATATTTATTTAATTATTTAAATAAAATATTAATCTATTAATTATTTATTTAAATAAATATTAAATGATTAGTTATTTATTTTTTCAAAATTTTAATTATTTATTTATTAAAGAGATATTAATTTATCAATTATTTAGCTTATATGTATAATAATTTATTAATAGAGTAATTAATATATATTAATATTAGTTTTAAAAAATAACAATTATTTTTATTACTTGAATTTAATTTAATGTAAATATTAAAATAAAAAATTAACATAAGTATATATTGATATTGTTTCGTTTTTAAATTTTTATATATTTTTTTAAATTATCAATAATAATTTTTAAAATGAATATCAATAATATTATATTACACTAAAAATTATTTATTATATTCAAATATTTAAAAATTATATACTGATTTTATAAACAATTTTTTTACAACAATAATATTAAAATTTAGAATTTAAATTCATATAACTTTTATATCTATATATATATATATACATTAAATATTTTTAAAAATTATATTAATCAAAGAAGAAAAATAACATAATTATGAATTTTTTTTTATTTTATATTATTTGCTTTTATAATAAATTATTTAAGTATAATATTTGTGTCTGTTGAGTGCAAAATGTATTTAATTTTTTATTAATATTTATATTAGAGTATTTATTATTGATTCTTTTTGAGAAAAAAAAAGAAAAAATAATCATCTTTTCATTTCTATAACAATCCTATATATATAATTAACATGCATATACTAATTCAAAATATGAATATTTTTTGCATAGGAAAATATATACATGTATATATTTATCATTTCAAAAGTAAACAAAATATAGTCTATGTTATTCCTAGCTTCAAACCTACTCCTGCTGAGATTTATCACCTGTAAGATTTGTTTTCGTGTAAACACACGATTATCATAATTAAAAACACATACAAAACATAAAGGGTAAATTAATAATTCAATTTAAGTATGCAATATTCAATATATGAGATAAAATAATATAATGCAATTTCAAGTTTTCATATATTACATCACATGCAGGTCACCCATGTTACATTATCCGGCTAACTTTGATCGACGGTTACGCAGGTCAACATTCGCTCAAGCGAAAATAACATCGCTCGAGCGACGCTACCTGCACAAAATTGGTATTCTCAGATTGCATTTCGCTTGAGCGACACTGGTCTCGCTCGAACGAAACGCCCCTGCACAAAATTGGCATTCTCGGGTTGTATTTCGCTTGAGCGACACTTGTCTCGCTCGAGCGAAACGCTCCCTGCACAAAATTGACATTCTCGGGTTGTATTTCGCTTGAGCGACACTAGTCTCGCTCGAGCGAAATGCCCCCTGCACAAAATTGGCATTCTCGGGTTGTATTTCGCTTGAGCGACACTGGTCTCGCTCGAGCGATATCTGATGAAAAAATGTATCAATAAATAAATAAAATATAGTTAGATAGCGGTTAAGGTTTAACCGCTATTAGAAGTGCTCTTTTAAGAGCGGTTCCAGTGGAACCGCTATCATATACAACTACATTTTTTTATTATGATCGATTACATTTTCAAATGATCGATCATATTTGAAAATATATAATAGCGGTTAAGGTTTAACCGCTATTAGATGTTAACTTTAAGAGCGGTTCCAGTGGAACCGCTATCGTATACAACCACATTTTTCATTTTCGTATACATCCCAGTCGCGCCACTTATCCCCAAATAACCCTAACTCTCGCGCCTCATTCACCCATTCCTCTTAACCTTGCAAATCCCACGGCCAGTATCTCCTCCTCACTCCCGGCGAGCCCTAGCCCCCTCACAGCTCCCCCCAAGTCAACCCTCACCCTAATCCAACCTCCACCAAAGCTCCTCGTCAACCGGACCCCACCTTGTGAGCCACCGCGCCACACCTCTGTTCTTAACCTCCTCCGCAGCCTCTGCCACCGAAACGACCTTCAGAATATATGTAAAACATGTGCTTGAATGTATATTCAACCAAGGTTTGGCTTGTTTGAATGTATATATTGTTATTCTCTTGCATTGTGAATAATATAGGAGAGATATTTGACAGAATTTCTTTATCGTTTGTTGTAGGTGGATTTGTGAAGTAGATAGGTTCTTCGATCCCTCTTACTGCGGATTTGGTGGTGCTTGACAGACCAATTTGGGAACTTGTTGAGACTGTACGCCCTCAGGTTAACCATTTGTAATTTGTTTTAATTATCTGTTGGATCTTAGTGAAAAGAAATTTCATAATTATTGGGTTTACTTACACAATTATTTGTTGGTCTGTATCATACGTACTGCATAAGTAGTGGATAAATACCTTGGAAACAATGTATTAGAAAAACGTAAGTACTGCATCACATGAAGTGAATAATGCAGTTTCACTTATGCTGATTGTTGTAGTTAATTTGCAAGAATAGAAAAACATAAGTAGTGCATCACATAAAGTGAATAATGCAGTTTCACTTATGCTGATTGTTGTAGTTAATTTGCAAGAATAGAAAAACATAAGTAGTGCATCACATAAAGTGAATAATGCAGTTTCACTTATGCTGATTGTTGTAGTTAATTTGCAAGAATAGAAAAACATAAGTAGTGCATCACATAAAGTGAATAATGCAGTTTCACTTATGCTGATTGTTGTGGTTAGTTTGCAAGAATGGAGATCCCCGTTGGTAGAATGTGGATGTATCAAAGATTGGATGGTAACAAACATCTAACAGATGAATTTAGAGAAGGAGTGTATAATTTCCTACAATATGTTATTGTTCAACCTATGTTTCAAGAACAAGGTGAAATGTTAAGATGTCCTTGTGTTAAATGTAAGTGTAAAGTTTTCAAGTTTGTTGATCAAGTTGTATGGGATCTTTATCAAGAGGGATTCATGCCTAATTATTATTGGTGGACAAACCATGGTGAAAAGTCGCCGGAATTTCCTACAGTGGTTGTTGAGAGATCACATGGAACTTTTCAACAAAGGGAAGAATTAGGTCCTTTCCATCAAATGATTATGGATCATGTCGGACCGTCACTTGGATACCAACTTCAAACCGAGAGTGAAATTAGAGAAGAGGACATGGCAGAAAACCCTGATCCTGATACTAAAAAATTCTTTGACATGCTTGCTGCTGCGCAAGCACCATTGTGGGAAGGATGTACACATCACTCTGAATTGTCAGCATCTTTGGAAGCTCTAAGCTTGAAATCTGATTATAATATGGCTGAAGGATGTTTTAATAGAATGGTCCAATTTATGGGAGAGACTATGCCAGAAGATCATCAAATGGCTACGAATTTTAACCAAGCTAAGAAGTCAGTGATAAAATTGGGTTTGGGTTGTCTCAAAATTGATTGTTGTCCAAACGGATGCATGTTGTATTATAATGAAAATTCA